CTCATTCAGTTAAGACATTTGGCCGCGTAGACATCCCGCTGTTCATATATTTCTTCTCTTTTTACTCTTTCTGATATCATTTACTTTTAGAGAGATCTCTCGTTCTTTATAATAAAGTATTTAATTGTTTATCACACATCCTCTTTATACTTTTTTAAAAGTTTTTGATTAAAGATTTACGAAATAAGCCATTGAAGATATAACTGTTTTATTTCTGGACATATTTCTCATATCTACCTATATCCTAATGAGACACAGCTTACATTTGATGTTTACACAAAAAATATTAGGTAACAAATTATGCTTTTTGTGCTTTTAAAAAGATTCAGTCCCAGCAAACATGCTTTCAGCGGACTGTGATGCGCAAAGCCGCCGCCGGTAAGCCAGTGCTGACCCTTTGTTATGCCTAATGCGGCTTGCCGCTGCCGGGTAGCTGATGCAGGACCGGCATCCTATTTTATGTTGGCTTTCCGCCATCGGCCGAAGAGCGATAAAACACTTCGTCGCCAATGCAATTTTAAATGGGCATGCCAGCTTCGGTAAGTTCATCACGATACGCTGTAGCTTTGCCAACACAATGCCAAAGTGGGCTTTTGGATGGCTGTAAGCTGTCGTAAAAAACATCGTAAAAAACAAAACAAAAAGCAAGCGTTTCAAGCGCCATGAGACTTTGGTCGATATCGATATATAGTGATTTATGGTTTTATTTAACTAGTGTTTATTAAATACTAAGAGGTAACTCTAAAATTAAGAGAGTAACATTATTAAAAAATAATTTTAGCCTAAAATTATTTTTTAATAATGTTACTTTATTAAATAACTTTAAAAATGTTACTTTATTAAATTAAATGTTACCTTATTAAATAACTTTAAAATGAAGAGAAACTTTATTAAATAATAATTTTAGGCAAGTAAATAAAGTTTATTTACATGCCCAAAATTTAGGCATGTAAATAAACTTTATTTACTTGCCTAAATTTTTATTTAATAAAGTTTCTCCTCATTTTCAAGTTAACTCTTACTAAGCTTAGTAAGAGGTAACTCTTCATTTTAGAGTTAACTCTTACTAAGCTTAGTAAGAGTTAACTCTAAAATGAAAAGAAACTTTATTAAATAATAATTTTAGGCATGTAAATAAAGTTTATTTAGCAAATAATTTACATGCCTAAAATTATAACATGAGCTTTACTGTTTAAGTTTACCTAACTGTTTACTTATAAACTTATAGCTTTACTGTATATTCCAAGACTAAGAGTCTTAGTCTTAGAATATACAGTAAAGCTATAACTTTTATATCTATTTGAAATGAAATACAAAAAGTATATATATTTTTTACTTAAGTTTATTAAATATATATAGACTCGAGTAAAAAAATATATACTTTGTATATTTCATATCAAATAGATAGTGAAAGTTACAAAATAATGTAAAGTTATAGAATAACATTAAATGGAAAGTTATTAAACATTAAATGAAGAGTTGTGGAATATATATACTCATATAGTTTATACGTCTCTATATAATATAAAGATATCTTTATTATGTTATGTTACATATTATGAGTCTTCGTAATATATTATATTATAAAGATTCGTATATCTAGATATACGAGTATTTATAATATAATATATTACGAAGACTCATAATAAGAGTATATGAGTCATATAAAACTCTCTATGTTATTTTATATTCAATTTCATGTATAACTTGAAATTAAATGTGAACTATAGACTTTATATAGTATATACTATATAAAGTCTATAATTCACATTTTATTTCAAATATATATTTCAAGTTATATACGAAATTAATTACTATATGTAATTTTTAAGTTATATATGAAATTAGGTACCATATTATAGGCTATGTATGAATGGTATCATATGTTATATATGAATTTACGTATCAAATAAAGTTGTTTTATATTATTATTATACAACAACTTGTATATGATACATAAATTCATATATAACATCATGTCATATGATATATCATATGACGTACGATATGTTGTATATAAATTTACGTATCATATATAATATTATATTATATAATAACTTGATATATTGAGTTATATATTGACTTATATATATTATGTACTTAATATTATATAATATATGATACGTAAATTCATATACAAATACTGATATGTTGTAATATTAATACAACTTGAAATACATATATTTGATTTAAAAAATAAATTATAGACTTTATATAGATGTATATTGACTTATATTGATGATTATATACTTTCATATGTCATGATGAGTTATGAAAGTATATATATATATATATATATATATACATATATATATATATATATATATATATATATATATATATATATATATATATATATATATATATATATATATATATATATATATATATATATATATTATATATATAGGCTTCGGCAGGAATGACGGGCTATAGCCCGTGTCCGTCTCCGCACCCGTCTAAGTCAGTTTAGACGGGCGAAATAAAGCCCGTCTGAAACATAAGTTTTGTGTTTATTAAGATACTCTTTTAAAACTTCTCTCATGACATAATTTTAATATGGATAGCAAACTCCAACTTATAATTGTTTATATTTAAATATAAAAATTAAACAATTTAATCATTATTGTATAACATGATGTAGAAAATAATATAACTAAATCTTACAGTTTTTTAAACGACGATAACTGTTTGATATAATACCAAACAGTTACCATATTATGTTCAAAATTTAATAACTATTATATTAAATAGGGAAATATACACATGTGATGCACAAGAAGTATCATGTTGTTTTTTTGGTTTTTCAATGTTTATAATAATAACGATAATAAACTAATTATCCATGTATTTCGCTTTTTTCCGATAAACTAGTTTGTCTTACTTTAAAGACATTTAAAGTGATATTTCCGCGTTAACTTCCGCGTTAACTTCACGTTTTTTCTTAAAGAGATGGCAGTTTATTTAATATGCAATTATATAACTCGTTATTGAAAATGAAATATCTCATTAAAAATCAACAAACGTCTAATCAATTTTTGTAGATAATATAAATAGTGTTGCTTTATAGTTATGAAGTTATTCAAGTTATCCAGTCATTCAAGTTTTTCAAGTTATTCAAGTTTTTCAGTAAAGATAGTAATGGCATCATCTGGTAGAAGAGTTACATTAGCAACATTTTTGAGTTGGGGTAAAGATGGAGTCTGTGGAAAAGAAACTGAGGTGGAGAATGGAACAATTTTTGTTGTGAAGATATGGTGTATGGTTTGTATAAAATATAAAAAAGAATTGCTTCGCGAGTTAAAAGGTCTGGCAAAATCAAAAGCATTAGCATTTATAGAGGGCACTACGAACGTTAAAGCTAGAAACATACATACGCTTATATACATGCTTATATTGTATATAAAGTAACGGAAGCCCCGGTATCTTAAGAAATTATTAGTACTTCTAAATAAAAACTTATTTTATTAAAAGAAATTAGATTTCAAATTTTTTATTCACGTATCAGAATAACTATTTCCGATCAGGATAGGCATAGGTAAAGCAAAGTTATAAAAATATAAATAACAGTTTAAGTTTTCAATTTGCACGCCCAATAGAATGCAAAAGTATATAAATAATTGAATTTGAAAAATAACATAGTTACGTATCATATTACCAAGCTAACACCAAACAATTCTAAAACTATCGAGCTCATTGATTCAAGGTTAAAAAAAAAAAAGATTTCAAACTATTTGCTGAATAATTAAAAAAATTAGATTTTGAAAATATTATGTAATATTTTTATTCACAAAGAATAAGAGAAACGAATGAACTAAAAAAGCACGATAAAAACCTGTATAATTTAATCGAATACTTAAATAAAACAATAATATATAAATATACTCAAAAAGACTTCGGTAAAAAAACACGTTAGGATGCTTGAATAAGGAAACGTGATGAAACGCCATGGTTGTTTCGAGGATTTTTCCCGTCGTTTTCACGTTCGTTCGTTTGACTATATCTGCCAGATATTATCTGGAATAAAGATTAAAAAAAAAAAAACATAAAAAAAGAATAAAGAAATTTAAACAAAAGCAACCATAAAACAACTAACCCACGTGAAACAAAATTATATCTGTGCAAGTGAAAACTTAGAAAAACAATTATTGAAATCTTAGTTTTAAGTATTATCCAACTCATTTACGGCAGTGTTTTAATTACTTAAGTAATTAAGCATTTTAAACAGTTAATCGCTTTCTAACATTATTTTAGTGCAATTCACAAAATGTTTAATATTCAATGACATTTTCATTCAAAAAGAGAAATTAACAAATTTTAAAAAAAAAAAGTTCAAACTTTAGAATTTTTTTTAAAGTTTAAAAAAGCCCGTGCAAGACCATCTAGACGGGCGGCCCTCATAGCCCGTCAAGTCTATTTAAGACGGGCTTTTCATCGCCCGTACGGTTTTTATTCCTGCCGAAGCCTGTATATATATATATATATATATATATATATATATATTATATATATATATATATATATATATATATATATATATATATATATATATGTATGTATGTATATATATATGTATACGTATATATATATATATATATATATATATATATATATATATATATATATATATATATATATATATATATATATATATAATGGGAAATATCTGTATCTACTACGTATCATTATTATTAATTATTGCGCTTTACATTATATAATATATATTATACAATGTAGAGCGCATATTATATAAGGTAGGGTTAAATAATAATAATTAATGAAAATCTGTTTTAGTGAAAAGAATTAGCAAAATTAAGCTTTAAGGTTGCTTATTTTAATTTTTATTTAATTTAATATTTTTAATTTTTAAGAATTTTTTTTAAGATTGTCTTGAAAATTATTTTGACTTAATGTCACACTTTGATTTACTGATTTACTAATATTTATTTGCAGGATTAGTTGCTTTTGTCTCCATGTTGTCCAAGGGTTATTTCGGCCATGATCCTAATATTATCATAGGTTTAGCAGAGTTGTTTAACTTGCAAACTGGATTGAAGATTTTGAATAAATTTTTGTGTTCTTAATATGGTCACAAGTTTGTACTTGTTTAAAACCCTCAATCATTTGAAAATTATGGCGCCGTTATGGTAGTTATTCTAATTTTATAGCTTTCATTTTTCTCAAGTTATTTTCATAGTTTTTTATATTGAGCTACACTTTTGTTTGTACAGTGAAAACTATGTTCAATAATAAAACTATAATTTTATTTAGACATGGTAGATGTCCTAGAAAAAACTGGTAGTAACTCAATGTAGATACACATAGTCGATGGAGTTACTTGCTAATAACTGGCAATGAGACATATTTGCTTCAAATGATGCCTTTAAAGTTTGAAAAGGTTAGTTTATTATGCTCGTCTTAAATGGATAGTTTTTATATTTTAATTATAAATCAGTGTCTGCTTTAATATAATTATCATAAAAACTAGGCATCTGAAAACATTCCTGCAATTTAATATCATGATAGTGACTTACTCTTGTCTTTTTCATGTTTAGATTTTTTCTAATTCAAATGTCGACTTTTTGTTACATGAAAAAAGATACTTATTTCAACCCCTCGACTATATTGGTAAGTAGAGCATTAGTCTGAAGTTGTATTTAAGCTTACTGTTTATTAAATTTTACTTTTTTCAAGAAAAGCACATAATATGACTTTATTTTTATATAGCTTTTTAAAAGTAGTTACATAACTTTTCAAATTAAACAATGTTTTTGCTGTTTTTATCTGTTAAATTAGGTTTTAATATTAAAACGAATTTTACATTTATTCAATGCAGATACACTTAGTATGTGGAGTTACTTGTCAATAGCTGGCGATAAAACTTTTAAACGTAACGTCTTTAAGGGCTGAGAAGGTTAGTTTGTTTCGTTATAATAGCTCTAAACTGAAATATTTCAATATTTTGATTGGATATTGTTGTCTGCTTTTAGGTAAAAATTAGAAGTCTGCAGACTGCAACGTAAATCGATTTCAACACGTTATGGCTTCTCGAATATATTTAGTTTCCGATTGAAATGAGAATAAACTGAACTTATATATAAAGTGTTTACAATTAACTTTTTAAACTAGAAATACTCCAAAGGAGGTTCTCCAAACGCAAGTTAAGCAAAGTCGATAGATGTTAATATCTTTTATATTATGTTTTAGATATAAAAAAAATTTTTGTGACTTTTATATTTATGTTATAATTGTAAATTGCAATCTTAAAAGGATTTTATTATTACTTTAGATTGTTCTTTTTGTTCATATATTTGTTCACCGAGCTTAAGCGTTGCAACGTATGACCTAATGATTTACAGTTATGGTAGTGTTTCTTTATGTTATGAGTATTATTTACTAAATTTGTGTTGATTTAATAAGTATTTAATGGCTATATACCTAAGCACAAAGTTAAAAGGTATTTGATGTGCTTTCCAGGTTTAAGCAGGGTTTACCATTCTTTTTAGCGTAAAAATTGAGCTAAAAATATTTAAAAATTTCCTTTAAGTGCGTTTTGTTTTAACAAAAAATAAATAATGATATGCATATTAATGCATTCCAATCTTGATCAAAACATATAAAAGGTCCTATGTTATTCCGCTATCGTTTTTTCATCGGTTTGCCGCTGACGGACCGTTGTTAAAAGGTTTGCGATTTGCCGCCATCGGACCGCTATCGAGCCGCCTGCAGATTGCTGCTAACGGACCGATGTAAATACGATGTGCAAGCCTACGCGGCAGCGCAGCGGGCGGCCGACGTCGGCACGGCTTAAGTGCTGACAGCGGTCCGTTGTCGGTCCGACTGCTCAATGTTTGCTGGGGTTGTTGCCATTTAGAAGAGACTCAATACTTGCATGAAATCAGAAATATCTTATTGAGAACTATGGTTGTAATGCAATACATTTAATTTTTGCAATAAGTGCAGGGATACCAATTCGAAGTTCAGAGTCTGGGATCTGGAGTCTAGGAGTCTCTGTTTTTACCTGGGTTCCACAGTCCCGCTCATTGTAAAAAATGTTAGTACTACAGGACTCCAGGCTTTTTTTAATTTTATATCAGCTTATAAACATATCAAATAAACCATTATTAATTTCTATAAGTTTATTAATTTAAAATTGTTTAGTCAACAGTTAAGTAACTTTAGTTAAGTAAAAGCAGAATAATTATGCTGCATACGATAAGCCCTTCAACATATAAGTTATTCAAAAATGTGCAGTGTATTTTATGGTACACATTGTCTATAGCCCACATTGCTCTTAAAGAATATAAGAGACCAGTCATAGTATTCGCCGTATACAAAACCTTTAGTGTACACAGATAGCTAGATGCCTAATTATGCTTAGGCACAAATATTTACACATTAAACATGCATTGATGCCAAAGTAAAAGAAAGTATTTTTTTAACATGTTTCCCAAACAATATTGTTTAAACTAACAGGTATGGTTTTACTGATAAAAAAAAAAAAAAAGAAAGTCATATGAAAAATATGAAATAAATTGAGTGCAGTAATTGAACTCGGAATTTCTTGCTTACAAGACTTATAGGTGTAGTAGTGGTGTGCTTGCTAAGACAAACACTCTAACACTACACCATACTATTACCTCATGTAAACTTACATGTAACACTACACCATACAACTACCTCATGTAAACTTACATGTAACACTACACCATACAACTACCTCATGTAAACTTACATGTAACACTACACCATACTACTAACTCATGTAAACTTACATGTAACACTACACCATACTACTAACTCATGTAAACTTACATGTAACACTACACCATACTACTATCTCATGTAAACTTACATGTAATACTACACCATACTACTACCTCACGGTATATCAAACTACCATACTATATGGTATATCAAACTACATTTTGAAAATATAGAGCAGTCACAGGAATTTATCTACACAAACTTGACCTATTTCTCAATATTTATTAAAAGTTGTTATTAACAGTCATTAGCTTGATTTACTTATTTTACGCATTTTTAAGTTTAGATTTGACAATCTAAATTTAAAAATCTAACGAGAGAGGGGAAAACAATAATATGCAATTTTATTTTGTCTAACGTAAAAGAGAAGTTATGAGATATTGTGAAATACAGTATAAAAAAGTAAAAAACTTTACTAATTAATTTTTTTTATTGGGCATTTCGGTTTATGTGCGTGATTTTTTCTTTTTTTTTGTTTTTACAATAATAACTGTGACTTAATGCAATATACACATTATTGAAATTATCTTGATGAAGAATTATATAAAAAAAAATATTTTCATCATATTTTAGACTACTAGAATATTTAAAAATGTATATTTTCAATAAAAAAAGGTTCCTTGAAAAAAAGTCTATCTACTTTTTTGTCCCTCACGGTGTCTTCGGCCCTGTACTCTAGCTAGAATTTTTTGATGAAGGCTACTTCTCATTGAAAATATATTAAATACGTGATGTAGGGAAATAATATTTTACTTGAAATACTCACAAACAATTTATTTTCATAAAACTAACGGCATGGACATGACGAATTTACAACTTCTGTGCGTGATCATATATAAACTGTTTTTAAACTTTTGCTGTGATTCTATGATACAAAATAAAACCCTTTAACTTTCTAAAGATTTTTACAAATAAATAAAATATTATTAAAAAAAAAAGTTTAGTGCTAAAACTTATATTTTCGAAGAAATAAACGTTTATTTATGTAGTAACTAAAATAAAGAATGTTAAATTAATTAGTAATATTATCAAAGAATAAACTAAATTTTAAACTTTTTTCAAACTTTTTAATAACTATGTTAATTTATACTGTTTTATAAGTATTTTATAAGAAATCTATGCAAGAAGGTCCCATCTGATGCTAAGCTCCATTATTCCCAGTTTACTAAATATTCGTGACTGAATCTTGTTTTCATGTCTACTAGAAAATAACATCTGTTGTTCCAATATTTAAAAACTCTGGAGATCATTCGAACCCCTTCAACTCTTGTCTTCTCTCTATAATTTGCAAGCTTTTTGAGTCTTTGATCAACAAACTGCTAACATCCCATCTTAAGACTAATAACTTACTCTCTGAGAATCAATACGATTTTTAACCTTTTTGTACTACGGCTGGCTTGCAAACTGTTGTGACTGAAAGATTCTATTGCGCATTAGCTGGATATGGCGAGGCAAGGAATATTGCTCTTGATATTTAAAGCTTTCAATAAAGTTTGCCATGTTAGTCTTCTCCATAAACTTGCTTCATAAGATGTAACTAGAAAAGTTCTTGAAATTATTAAATCATTTCTTTCTAACCGCTTTATTAAAGATATTCTGAAAGGCCAACACCCTTTTTTATAACTAGTACCTTCTAGGGTACCTCAAGATTCTATCCCTAGTTCTAAATTATTTCTTATGAAAATTAATGATCTTCCTGACAATCGTACATCTAAAGTAGCTCTGTTTGCTGACGACTCAACTGTCGGTTTGCTGACGATTCAACTGTCGGTTTATAATCCTGTTTTAAAAAAGAGTCTTTCTTTTTTTTTTGTGGCTCAGAACAAGCTCTGATCTTTCTTCTATAACAGTTTAGAGCTTGCCGTGGTTTGTGAATTTTAACTACGGTAATAACGTTGTCAACCAATTAATGAATGAAACCCTCTCACTAAGTCTTCTACTTTATTTCTTCTTGGATTATCATTAATTACTGACTTTTTATAAAAACCATAAATACAAACCATTATAGAGCTACCATCTGCTAAAGTTGCATCTTTTTCTCTTTTCTACAAATACTATCATGGTCACTGCTTATAAGAGCTATTATCTCTAGTTCCAAAACTCAACCAAAACTTTACCTTGCTTGACTCATCATTTAGCAAAATTGCATTTTTTTACTGCATCTGCTTTTGTATGCTCTAAAAATATTTCACTTCGCCAATCAAGTACAAAACTTGATGTTGGATTCATCCCAAAAGAATTTCGTTCTCAATCAGAAATAAATAGTTTTGTTACCAGAGGTTGTATTGACTTTC